ACTCTCTCGCTCTGTCTTTTTATGATATGAGTGTTTGCGTCCTTGCATTGTGCTGCAATGGCATATAATTTGCACATGCTCTTGTTTGCTTTTGTGCTTTAGCTCTGCGCTTGCTATCTGTGATGCTGAAAAGTGTACGGCACTGTAGCTTGGCGTCACACTCTCATAATCACAACTGTTCTGTTTGACAGATGTGAAATTTATTTTTGCTTCTCACCACAATCTGTTTTCAAATTTTCTTCACGTGGTAATCTATAAAGTGGCAAATGCTTCACTTTAAAGTAGAAGTGCGCTGTATGAAATTAGCTCATGCTGCCAGTTAACTTATGACAGTGTTTGCCTGTGTGAATTTTTGATGGCAGTGATTGATGTGAGGCAGCGCGGCTTCAGCTTGGCATTGCTGATGTGTTTGAAGGCTCTCTTTGTCAGCGGATAGACAGTGCAGTAACATGAGTGGCATCATACTGACTCATCAGCCAACTGATTGCATGACTTCAGTCTTACTGGCCCTGCCTCAAGACAACCCATCAAGTATTTATACAGAGCAGGTAAAGATCAAGATTCTCTCCAGCACCATCCTGCACAGTCAGTCAATCTCATATAGTTCGAGGTGGCTTCATCCATTCTTTCTTTTTTTTTCTTCTTTTTTTTTGTTTGCCCCTGCTGGCAGACAGCTGAACATTGCCCATATATCCATTAAGCCTCTGTGCTCCATAAAATTTAAAGCTATAATTCACTGCATGCCTGAAATTGCAGTGCTGACAGTGCCTGTCCCAGTGAATCAGAACTCAGATGAACGAGAGGTCTAGAGATGTCACCAACATAATAAACAGGGCTTTGGCCTACAGCCCCTTTTCTTTCCCAAGCCTGAGGCCCCAGGGCAGGGCCGAGGCTAGTCCCCGTCTAACGCGCACGACTCTTATTGATCCAGCAGGGATTGATGTCCTCCAGCGGCTGATTTAGCTCCCCCCACGGGCCCCCGTGCCTTTTCTAAAAGGTTGGGCTCAGTAAAACATCCAGGTGTTGCTCTCTATAGGTTAGCAAGTCTTCCTTGCTTTTTTCCTCCTCCTCTTCTTCCTCAGTTTCAGGCTTATGCCTATAGTGGTAGTGTGAATTTCAGTCCTGACATAGTGAAGCAAAAATGGTTTGTCTTTACGAACTCATGCTTTTGGAAAAGTGCTTACAGTAATGGGGTGTATTTGTTACTCCCTTTGAGAAACATCATTGTTCTTCCTCCTCCCTTCCACTAACATCCACCCTCATTTTTCGCTGCTTCCTTATTGTGGCCATCTCACACTCCAGCCCAGACATTTAAACCTAAATGCTCTCATTGTTTTCTTTAAGCTTCTCAGTTAGGTATCCATCCTCGTTGATTCTGTAAGCATGTGGAAAGTGTTTTTATTTAACATTCATTCAACATCTTTATGGAACCTTCACAGCTTGAGTGAGTAATCTGAAATTTGTGGGGTCTTAAGAAGAAAGTCTCAGATACTTGATGTGCAAATCTAACAAGATGTGGTAGTTGTTTCAGTTCAGTCCCTAGATGTTTTTGTGGGCTTACCTTCCTTTGCTGTGTTTCTGACCCACTCATTCTCATTCCTATGCTGCCAGAAGCAGCGGATGTCACAGAGATATGCACAAGGTGTCCCTCAGGATCTGTGCTGTGATTCACTTGTCGCAGCAGTGTAGGATGCTGTATGAGAGGCTAGATTTGATTTTGTTTTTTTTTTATGTTTTATGTTGTTTAACTTTTTTCTCTCTCATTGTTAGTTATATTTACACACGAAGCATCTTGATCAAGTTCATGATGGCAGTTCTTGCTGTCCTGGGAATGACGATGTCTCTGACTTTGTGACTTTAGTGTCACTTTACAAACGTGAATACAACCAAAAAGTGGAGAGAAAAGTGAGGAAGTAAGAGGTTCCGAGGACAATCGTAGAGAGAAAGGTGAAGTAGAGAGATGGTTCCTCTCGCCCATTGCTCTTGTCATGAATGCAGTGTTGCAGACTAGAAGGGATGGGGAGGGGGCAATATTAATGTGCACTGTATCATTCATAACAGTAATACTGGCATCACTTGCTGCTAAATAGCATCATTTGTCAGGGGAAAGGGCTTGGTGTCACAGTGTTACAGATAAGCATTAGAGGGATACCTACGCTACACACACACACACACACACACACACCCAAACACAGCTGTGTATATGTGACTTTAGAGGACATTGCACTGACTTACATTCATTTTCTTTACTCCAACCTAAACTATAACCATTAGTTGCCTTACGTTAACCAAAACATAACATTTAACTATGTCTTCACCTTACATTTTAATACTTCAACCTAAATCATGACCCAAAGTATTTTACACCTTTTTTCTTTACCCACAATCCTGAAAATGAATCCTAATGTTAAACTAACACAGCATAAATCTAACTTGAAATGAAATAACACAGTGTTTCAAAAAAAACGATACAATTAACCACTTTTCTACAATTCGTCGTTTATTGAAATGTCTAAATCTTTTTTCTACCTTAATTTATGCTAAGAATGTCTTTCACCAAAGTATAATATCCTAATACCTCAGAAATGTCCATATTTGAGGACAAAATCAATTATGTAGATCCTATTGTCTTTATCTAAGTACACCCATTTTGCTCTGTTAATGTCTATAACCTTAGGCAAGGTTAAAAAAAAATCTGTTAATAAAACAAAACTGACCCACAGGAGCCAAAAAAGAAGTTCTCAGGCAGTGTTATTGGTCTCTGCCCTAAATCTCTATGTAAAAAATGTATTTATTGCAATAATATATAACTGCACACATATTTGGAGATATAATATATTAGCATCAAGAGCAGCCCTTCGTTTGTCTAATCAGGGCAGAGAATCTAACTCATATTCTCAGTAAGTTGGTCTCGTTTCATCTTTCTTCTCAGCAGTAAGAGTTAATCTTCCACAAGACTGTCTCTCATACATAGTCTGAAATGAACATTTGTTATCCTTCACTCAAGTGTATGTCTACCCACGTGGAGCAGACAATTCGTTCACAGTCGAGAGGGCCAAAAGGAGGAGGAAAAAAAACAGTTATTATTGATGACTATGGGGTAAAATGCTTAATTTGCACCGTCTTCAACCAAATTATAACTCATATTGAAAGCAGCTGAATTTGCATAAATCTCATTAGACTGCAATGAGAGGGGTTCATAAATCGTGATATTAATTAGTCATTTTTGCCACCCTTTCATAAGAAAATGGGGTGTATTAATAAAACGAGAGGGGTGTGTGATTGTGAAGCCTAATTGGTCACTGTATTAAGCAGTGTGGTGCACAAGTGACAGATTTGATTTAGTTTGGCTTCACTTCTGTTGTCTGGTCAGGGAGGGGGGACAAGTGTTTGTGTCTGTGCAATTATTGAATGATCTGTTTATTTTCTCTTCTGTCCATGCACTCATTTAAAAAAACAAACCTGTCCTCATTAACAGTCAAATGCTTACCTCAGCATATATCACCCTGAGGTCAAGAGGCAGTCAAAGAAAATTACGCCCCAGATTAAGTTGCCGTGTTTCCATGAGGTTATCCTGTCTTGACATTTAGGATAAATTCTCACATTTTTGAATTTACAAACAGCATTTTTTGCAAATCTATTAACAGTGTGAGCACAAATAGCAGTTACGCAGCAAAGATTAAGCCCACAGTATTTTGGTACAGTCCTCTTCTTCTTCTTCTTCTTCTTCTTCTTCTTCTTTCGGCCAGTCCCTTAATCTGCCTCCATGTCATCCAACCCGTGACAACAATCCTCCACCTTTGTCTTTGGCCAACACAAGCACAGTTTCCACCGGCACCCTGTTGGCCAACAACACTGAGGACGGTCATTCTTAACCTGGACCCCGACCGATCATTGATGAGCCATGTGTTTGATTTGGCAAAGATTTTTGCCGGATGCCCCTCCTGACAAAACCCACATTTATCTGGGCTTGGGACCAGGGAAATACACTGGCTTGGCTGGGTTCTTGCCATAGTCCATCCATTCATTTTCCCAAGCACTTATGCAGCTAGTGAGGAGGGTGCTGGAGCCCATCCCAGCTATGATAGGTTGAGAGGCAGGAAACAAACACGGGCAAAGTCTGTCACCGGACAGATCAGAGGCACAGGGCAGAAATGAATAGGAATTTCAAACTAGGTATCTGTGAAGTGACAGTGACTGATATCTTAAAGTATTTTATGTACCGTATGTTTTGGACTTTAGTGAGGAAAACCTTGCCTCTGATATTTGGGAAAAAGCTTCTAATCCTTCCCAGATTCATATATTTCTTATTTTTTTAAATATATATAATATTATTTACAATGCTGCGCTCAGGCAGTTTGACCCTGGAGGGTAATGAGCCTTGCCAACCAGCTTGGAGGTCTTGATACCGTCTTCTGTGCCGCTCTTAAACACAGCCTCGTGATACATCTGTCCAGCGTGGCGGATTGACCTGCATGATAGCACACCACCTCTGGCTTTGATTAGCCAGCTTCTACTGTTTATGATGAATGAGCTGCTGCAGCTCCAATTAAAAATCCTTTGCTCCTGCACGCTACTGCATTTCTTTGTGCTGAGCCTTTGTGTGTTTTCAAGTCGTCTTCAACCGTTACACTACCAGGACATCTGGAGTTTTACAACATATAGTTGTTGTGGTTCTCTCTTTTTTAGTAGGTTTCCTTGAATATAATGTTGAGAAGTCAGAGTTTCTGTCACAATCATGGTACCTTGTTAACTCTTTTGCATTTTATTTTGATGTATTTATTTATACTTTTTTTTTAAATCAATTTTTAATCCAAGGCTAACTTTTACATGTAGCATGCAAATTGGAAATTCTGACAGGGCAACTGCATTTGTGTGAATATTCAGGAATTGTGTGCTCTCACAAATCAGCGGTTTCTAAATTGGCTCAGTCATTAAAAATTTGTTGATGCCTACTTTGACTTTGCAGGACTTCTGACCTTTGACTCTCTCGCTGACAGGTTCATCGGTGGCCCAGCTGAAGGCAGATGATCCTGAAGGTGAACCCCTCATCTATGGGGTTTCAGGAGAAGAGGCCATGAAGTATTTCGCTGTGACCAAAGAAACCGGTGTGGTCTGGCTTCGACAGCAACTCGACCGTGAGGTACAAACAAACAAACTCGTGCACACACATACTAACTGCTACACACACGCTCATACATTACCAAAGCAAATGCACCGGGTACAAGAAAAGACACACAGAACAATTTTGAAAATAGGATACGCGGCGTAAATTATCAAATGATGAAAGAGTCCCGAAAAGTGCAAAACAATGTGAGGGAAAGACAAAGGACGTCGAGCTCAGAGTGGCTTCTGTAGCTCCTTTTTGTTTTCTGTCTCTGCTTTTCTGCTCTGCTCCTTTGCATTACATGTCTATGCAAATTTTGTGCTGATATGGATGTCTGTCTCCACCAGACCAAGTCAGAGATGCAGGTCGAATTCTACGTGAGTGACAATCAAGAGGTAAGAGACAGATTTGCACTGCGTTCATAGTTGTGACACATTTCTTCACACGCTGACATCCTGCATATAGCCTGACCTCTTATCACACAGAGGCCTTGCAATCTGTCTCTTTTTCAGTCTCCCACTTTTACACTTACCCTTATTTCTCTTCCCCACATGACACCTGTCCGACTCAACACAGTATAGTTGCTGAAACAAGTGACATTCCACCTACTCTCCCCAGCGAGAAATCTGTCACACGCCTGTCCTGTTTTCTTTGATTCTGAATCGTGGCTTTGTGTCACATTTACATTGACTTTGGCTCTTTGTCAGGAAACGTGTGGCAGTGGCTTTGGAACTATTTAACCAAGGTGTTTCTTTCCCCAGGTGGTCAAAGACACAGTTAACATCCAGATCGGAGATGTGAACGATAACGCCCCAAACTTCCACGGGCAGCCATACACTGTCAATATTCCAGAGGTGAGGATGCCCGGACGTTATTTACCGTTTGTACTCGAGTGGAAATGAGACTGTGATTTTATTCATTACTCAGGTATACATGTAAAAGAAAAGTCATCATATGCATGACAATTTCTATATAATTGGCTGGTTTTTTGAACATCAAAACAATGTCAAAGTAAACAAAAAACTTTTATTTCCAGTAGAAGAACATTTTCCTCTGGAATCTGTACTTCAAACTGATGAAAACTTTGGAAAACAAAGAGCTGCAATGAATTTTCAGAAACACTAAGAAAACATAAATAAAATTCACCTCACCGTCATGCCTATTGCAACAGCTGTATCTGCACGGTGGCTACGTCTGATTTATGGTGATCATCTCCTATTCATAGTGCATTTTGGTCTTTGCCATGCTGGAAATAGCAGTGTTTTGCTGCACCTGTGATCTTCCCACAATTTCAGGAGTTGTCTTCCAGCTAATGTTTAGAGAATGTGTACAGCCTCCCTTGCAGGCAAGAGAAAACTCCAGTGCAAACCTCAATCTCTATTCTCTCCTTTCTCTGTCCTCCCACTGAATCGGCTACCTTCCTTCTCAGCTCTCACTTCTTTCCATCTTTGTGTCTCGTCTATGCCCTCTCCCTCATCTAATCCTTGATATGAAGTAATTGCCAGAGTGGAGGACTTCAAACAGGGACGGAAATCCACACACACACACACACATCCACATCCACAAGTCTTGTTGTGTTTATATTGAGCACATACCCCTTTGTGAGTCTTCACCAAATCTTCAAAGCCACTGGCTTTTTCTCTCCCAATCCATAAAGTCAGGCAAATAAATGGGAGAAATAAGGACTGTTTAGACGAGGCTGTTTAGATCACCCACCAGGGAAGATTCTCTCAGGCCATTGCATTGAACCGCCGCTAAGTTGTGTGGGACTCGCTTATAGTCCACATGCAGACGTTTCAAGCTCTGCAAACAACAGGATTCAGTTTAGCCTTGAGAAAGCCATTAAACAGGGCTGCGTTTGACCCTCAGTCACTCACATACCGTTAGTTCCCTTGCATCACTTACTGAATTACTACTGCTGTCAATCCTGGCATCCTATTGATTAAAAAATTTAAGCTTATTTGTTTGAGGCTATAGAGAGTGGAAATAAATCAGACTCCAGTGTACTCCCAGGCAGTACATACATCCGAGTTTTCCCCAGCATTTCTTTACATTGGAAATCGTGTAAGCCTGTAAAGTGAGCCATCGCTGAAAACATGCAAACCATGTGTGTGTGTGTGTGCGCGCGTGCGTGTGTAAACACAATGTTAGACTAATGCAAGTGAAATATGTTTTATCACACATCTCAGTGAACTAAACTGCGTACTTTGCTCGACAAAATGAGACACTGCCATTTCATTCATATTTTCACGACTGCGTTGCAATCACAATGCAGCACACAGTCCAATCCGTACGCACAGAGCCCTTTATTAAGCCGCTCTCTTTTCCACTTAAATCCTTTGCCAGTTTTGGGAACTGTTTTCCTTCATTTCAAGTCAGCCTCTTCCTCATTTTACCCCGTTTCTCCTTCCTCTACCCTTTTCGCCACCTTATCATATTTCTCAGCAACTTTAGTTACCTGCATTTTTATGGCCTCATTACTTCCGTGACCCTAAGCGACCTTTAGCGGGCAAAGCAAACATGCTGCAACATCACTTCATCATGCTGTCACTCACTGGACATGCCACAATGACTGCGGGTTAAAGTGCCATCAGCGCATCAAAGGAGAAGATGGGAAACGGCGATGAGTGTGGGGGATGAAAGAGTGGCAGAAGTAACAAAGCAGAGGCGACAAACAAAGGATTCAAAACGATGAGATTTACCGCGAGTGACAGAGAACGCAGGACGGAAAGAAAAGACCAGAAACAACACAAAGATTCTCGTGGGTTTTTCGAAGAACTAGGACAGGAGGTGTTATGAAGTGAAGCTCGACGGCACTGTCCAGATGAAGCAATGTGAGTGGCAAGGTGAGCAGTGCAGGAGGCAGAGTAGCAGAGAGTGTGTGTAAATGTCATTTTAATTTGTAGAGCCATAAAGAGGGTGAAGGGGAGCAGGTGGGCTGCTAGCATTCCCTCTGTCAGTGCTAATGAGCTCGCCAGATTTACAGCATCCACACAGTTAGGCAGCCAGCAGCAGAGACCGGATACAAAGAGCGACAACTATTACCTAAAATAATGTTTTGATGGAACAGCAGATGGGCTACAACACAAATCCATTACTGGATGAGAAGGCAGAGTGAACGTACAGCACACTGAGAAGCATTTTTTCACATTCCCTAAACTCAACAAATAGTCCTCTATAAAGGGAGCCCTCTGTTGACAAGCTCAAAAGCTTTTGCTGAGTGTGCGTCTGTGCAGCACCGAGATCTGAGCAATTGGGAGCCCATCCGTTATTTAAAAACCAACCTTCCCAATACCCTCACACACTCCTCAGCCCAGCTGCCTGACCCTTACACTCACCCACCGGGAGCCGGTCAGTGCCACTGTAATAATATCAAACGCCACCAGAAACAGCTTCTGTTAAGTGCGCCCAGTGTGTGCCACCTCCTGCTGTTCAGACAATCCTTGTTCTTGAACACAGTTTCCTTCCTTTTTATTTTTTTAGTCATTTATTCTCATCTAATCCTCGTTCTCTCCAGCGTCTTTTTGTCATGCTCGCTTACATATATATATATATATATATATATATACACTTCACAAAGATACATTTATTCAGAGTTTATAGCCATTATCTCTACTCAGTTTTCAGTGACCCCTGCAAAGCATCACTATAGTAAAATGTGCTTTTTTTTATTTTGGTTGAGCCCTCCACTCACAATATTGCAGAATTCAGATAGCATATCTTTTTCGTCCTCTAGTCAATACTCTCATTCACCCCTCCCTACAGTAGACATGCAGTGCAGTGGAATCCTGTCTTGGATAACGCAGTAATGATGCACACGAGATTGTATAGCCGACTTCTGACCAGCGCTGTAATGCGGTGCATAGATGGATTAAACGTATTGGCAAACAGGCAGACAGGCAAGAGGCTCCTAGTGATATATACCCAAACTTTATCTGTTTACTGTCTCTCAGGTATGTCAGGCAGGTGAGCAAATCCCTCCTCAGCCTCTATTTTCTATCAGCCATATCTCAGTGTCCCTCTCTAACCTACGGTAATCTCTGATGAACTATGGCTGATGATATAAAGCAGAACAACCCAAGGTGGAAACCCTTCAGGTGAAAGTCAGACATCTAAAGAAAGAAAAGCCCTCCATTCTGGCGTGGAGTTGCTGTGCCTGTTTTTGTTTCTTTTCTTTTTTCTATAGAAATATACTATTAGGACTCATTCTTAGAAACTCTAGCTAGACAAATATCTATCTGCTTTCTCATATTTTTGATTAATTAGAGGGTTTTACCTGTTTATGCGTTTGTTTTATAAACGTGTGGAATTCAAATCTTCATTGTTTTAGCTTTCCGTTGTTGGCTACTACTTTCTCCCACAGGTTTGAGATGGATAGCATGAAGACATTTCACATGCTAAACACACAAACACAGAGGCAAATGCACTCATATTTTAGATAATATTGGCAGAGGGTGTTTGAGAGCTCCTATTATGCCTGCGAATGAGCTGTTTAGTGCTTGATGTAGGCTTTGGCAGCAAAGCAGAGGCACCTGCTATTTGATGTGCCCTCTGTCGCTGTCAGGTAGAACATAGACAAATCTGTTATATTCCTTTCTTCTTTGCCTTTGTTCACTTCTGAAAGCTGAAATTCAATCTCTACTATTTTATCACCTTCTGCCCTGTATCTTAGCGGGTTGCAGCATCTGAAGGTAATTTGTTTACCAAGTAAGAAAAAAAAAATCTTAGCCCAAAAAGCAAATACAGATGCCTTATATCTTTACATTTGCAAGGTTGTCTGAGAACTTGAAAACAAAAGTCTTGCTTGTTGTGAAATACATTTCTTTTGAAATTATCCTCATGAAATATGTGTTACTGAGTGTTTACATATCCCACATATGCACTGCACGCAAACACAAACACACTGCACAGAAACACACACCTACTTTCGATATGAAACTCGCAAACTCGCTCCCTTTCTCTTTCATTTTCTCCCCCTCTCTCTCTTTTTACCTCCTAAAAGTCGGATTTGGCCCATAATTATATTAGTATCATCTCTCCTGGTCTCTCCTATGGTGAAATTGAATCTAGTGGTTACAGAGCTGAGTGGTGGCTGGTTGACAGGCGCAGGCCTCGAAGAGAATTCTGCTTGACACTAAGACCCTGAGCCCCATAGGGAGGGATGGAGGGATTTATGAAGAAAGAGAAAAAAAAATGGATAAAGTGAGAAGGTTAAATGGGAAGCAGTCAATATTTTACTCACCTAAGGCACCATTTATAACTTTCCACTTTCTACAGTTTTGGTGCACAGAATCTAATCCTAGGGAAAAGTTGTACGTCCCCATATTTGGAGAAGAAATGGGACGCTGTTTGAAATATAGATAAAAACCAAAAAGGATTTCTAACCACGTAAAGCCTCTGGCGCAAATAGTATAAAGTCCGCTTGAAAATCTCATAACTAATTAAGCAGAAAGGCAATGAATGATATGACTGGCAGTGTTGGGGTTATATCTCAAAAATAATGTATAATTTATTGTTACTTTTCTTAAAAGTAGTGCAGTACGTTACCTAATTACTCACCAGAGAATGTCATTCATTACACTACTCATTACGTTACTCTCTTGTTAATCTATAAAATGACCTGAAACACATTGGCTCATAATGATGTTATACAAACAGACTGTCCCAGACCCTATCGTAATGAGGACACACATATGACCTATGAACACAAAACCGACAATATCGCAACGCAACGATCAAAACCAGCCTAAAGACACTTCAGGTGACTCAGTGGTTCTATTTCAGAAACATAAACAGGACTGCTCATCACTGCTGTTTTTTACCTGTTGAAGTTCAGGCTCTGGCTGCTGGGTCG